TTTTATTTGTTTTATTTGTTTATTTGTTTTATTATTATTATTATTATTATTATGAATACGAGTATTCGAATTATATTGAAAGTTTATAAACGAATAAAACGAATAAGAATTTTATTACGAATAGAAAAATTCTAATTATTACTATTGCTTTCTTTATTATTATCTTTTATCCTGTTACGAGTATTGCATTTTTTTTTTTTGAACAAATGTATGTTTTTTTCTTTTGTCATTTTAAATAATGCAGATGGGCCAAGTGTCCATGTCACTGAGTCATTCCGGACGTAAAAATGAGTGTCAAGGGAAATTTTTTATAATCATCTTAGCCGGCTCACATTACTACACTAAACTTCTTGTGTGTGATAAAAGTCGGGAGCACTTTTAAATAAAAAATTCGCCCCAAAATTTTTTCCAAAATATTTAATTGAACTTGATAGTCATGCGTAAGATTTTAACACTTGATAATAAATGTATTGAATAAGTATCTATGTTGTTTTGAATCTTTTTGTAAACAAGCACCATTTTTAAACTCAAAACGTCAGTCTTAAATGAAAGTCAACATCGGTTTATAAAAATTTGCTGATGCCCATAGAAAAGCAGTGACTCGTACTATTCAAGGAGAATCGAAGCGGCTATCGAAAAATAATGAACGGTCAACGAAATATTGAGTCAGTTGTCATATATAATTTGGACCTAAGTTGCAAAATAAGTCAAGTATGTTTTTATGCAATTTTTGTTTAAATTAGCAATCAGAATTTTGTATCCAAACTCACACACCCTAAAATTTAATTGACAACAACGAATAAAACATTGAAAATGCTTACTCCATACAAATTGACGGTCTTGCAGTATCAGTTGGTCTGCATAAAAAGATCAATAGCAATAATGAAGATAGAATTAGTGAAGAATGGTCACATGTTGATTTGAATGGATGCAGAATATTAAGGAAAGGTTTGTTTGTAGCAAATAAAAAAAAAGTCGTGAGCACTGAAACTTGGCAGTGTTTACTCGTGCTCGTAAAAAACGTTATTAATGGTGAGCTGTACTTGTTAATTTAATTTACCGTACTTCCTCGGTATGATGGTTTAATAAGAGTCAAAAAACTGGTCTATGGAGAAGGAGGGACCTGATCCGTTTATAAGGGAGATTAACCGGAGCCTATCGGTCAATTTGGAAACAGAAATAATACCGGTAAAAAATCCAGCGCAAGCGTATCTCATATTACACAACTAGACTTTCCAAACTTTCAAGATTAATCTATCTATCTGCTGCCATTTTAGTTGTGGCAGTAGCAGCAACGATGACTTTTTATGAAGCCACAATTAGATATAAGGAGGATTTGGATCTTCCTGATTTAGTGTTGATAAATATGGTTTTTGCTTGTTATTAAAATATTTATATTTAATATCATATATTTAATTTTTACAATAATAAGATTTAATTTTTGAAATATTTATAAATAATAAAATAGATAGAAGTAAATAAAGGATAATAACAATAAATTTATATAATATTTATATATTTATCAAATTAATTAATTATGACTGATTAAAGGAATATGTTGATGTAGATGAAACTTTTCCAGGGTCCAGTCATAACGTAATTAATTGTCATCAGTCATCACTTCTAACAATTCTAATAATTAAAATGGATAGATGGATGGGGTGGAATTGAGAAGAGAAGTTATGGAATTTTGAGAGATTGAAAACAATTACAAAAGAAAGTATTTAAAAAAAAAAAAAAAAAGGTAAAGAGGGAATTAAATATATATATATATATATATTAATTAAATAATTAAATAAGTCTAAATTCTATTTATTTTTTTATAATAAATAAATAAATAAATAAAATAAATCATATACAATAATGATATATTATAAGTGAGTGAAAGTCCGTTAAATATCTTCCCGAAAAAAATATAATATATATACATATACATACATACATACATACATATATATATATATATACACATACACATAAATATATTAATACGTGTCAGGTAAGATATTATCAGGACCACGATATATAGCCATTAAATTCGCAGCAATCAAAATCAAAAGGAATTTAGCCCATCTCCAAATTAATCTAAAGAATGAGTAAATGCTTCTTGCCCATCTTTTCCAAAACCATTCTCTTATTAAATTTATTTTATCTTCATCAAATTCATCCAAGAAGACAAAATCATCGCTTAGTAATGACATACTATCATCAAAGAAGAAGCTTTTCTCTGATGTGGGTGAAAATGATGGCGGTGATTCAAAAACTCCCTCAATTGGTTTGTGATAATCAAAAGTACGACGAAATTCATCTTCCAATTCTGAAAGCAAAGTCCTTTTAATTTTTCCTCCTAGTCCACCGCCAGGGCTAGGCGGGGCAGCACCAAATAATGATCTATCAGGATTACTTAATCTTCTTAAAGTGTTGGAAATTTGATGCTCAGAGAAAGAATTTGATCTTGAGGCAAACCTTGAGGTTGCTCTTGAATATGGCATTCCTGATTTCATGCTGACAACTCTTGAACGTTCGTACTCTAAAGATTCTGATAAATCATTGATTAACTCTGTTTGTTGACGACATTGCATTTGTAGGATTTCATAGTTTTGTGAATCGTTAGCCAACTGATTACATTGTTCCTGCAAAAGATCTAATTCATTCGTGACCATAGACAATTTTCTTTCGGTTTCAGACTTTTTCTTCTCGATATGATGATTTTGTTCTTCCAATTCTGCCACTTTATTCACCAAAGCTTCAATGAAGGCGTCATTTTTCGAAGTTTTCTTGTCGTATTTTAATTGCCAAAAATCAGACTTTTGTTTTTGGAGCAAATTTTCAGTTTGTTTTTCAAGATCCTCGATTTTCAGAGTGGCCTGAGAATAACGATCTTGATAATGTTTTAAGTCGGATTCGATTTTACGTATTTTCGTTTTATTAACTTTGTCTGTATCGGTAAATTCTCTCATGACTTCATCAAGTCTTGCTTGAAGATCTTGGTTTCTTGTTTCCAATTCTTTAATCACCTCGACTTCTTTATATGTTAATTGTTGGTTGTTATTATTGTAATTATTATTATTGTGTCTTTTTCTGATTGGAGATACAAGTGATGATGAATAATCATATGAACTGTTTATTGATTCAGTATCACTATTATTATCACTTTCATAAGGATCTTCGAAAGGATAATCCATATTGTTTGGTGGAGCTATTGGTATACCATGTCGCATAGTAGCCATTGCTTCCCTTTGTCTTTGTTTTTCTAAACTTTGATATTGAGTAACCAAACCTTCATATTTGGCTTTTAATGCCATGTTATTTTCCAATAAACTTTTCCCAATTTCTGCTGCCAAGGTAAGATCTTTTTTTTTTTTTTTTTTTTAAAAAAAATCAGTTTAACATTTTTTTTTTTTTTTATAGATTATTTTCACAAAAAAAAAAAACAAAAACAATTACCTCTTTCTTTTTCTTTAATGACATTGTATGCTTCTTTTAATAAAGAGGTAAGCTCAGCTTGAGATTTATTTACATTCCATGAGCCAGATAGAGTAGGTGAAGCTAAAGGACTATATGAGGAGGGTGGGGGGAGAGCAGGAGGGGAAGCAGGGGAATTAAGAGAGTTAAGAGAAGAATTAAAAGAATTGATAATACTTGAGTAGTCTGGTGGTGGTGGTATTTTTACTGATAAATTCATCATGTATAAAAATATAAAATAAAATGTTTTTGAAGCTTTGTAAAAAAAATATTTTTTCACAATTAATTAATTCAATTAATTAATTGTGAAAAAATAAAAAAGAAAAAAAACAATTAAATAAATAAATTTGAAAATTTGTTTGTAGAGAAAGGAAAAAAAAAATAGAATTTTTTTTGGCGAAAAGAAGAATTTGTTATATAAATATATATATATAATAATAGTAAAATAAATAAATAAATATATACAAAGAAAATTTATAATAAGTATATATATATATATATATATATATATATTTTAAATATATATAAAAAAATTAATTATAATGATATTTTTTTAATTGTGACAATAATTATTTTTTCTTATCAACATTGATAAATAATAATCATAAACAATGTTAAAATACAAAAAATGAATGTGTATGTAAAAAAAAATGGAAAGAATCTTTTAATTATTTTTTTGCATATGAAAAAAGAAATGTCGTGTCACAAATTCTCAACGCCGAAAAAAGAAAAAAGAAATTTTAACCACCACACATACACACTACACACACACACACACACAAAAACAATCAATCAATAATAGCATTTAATAAATATATATAGTATATATAATAAAAATACATATATACATTATATAATATGCTGGCAAGTTTTTTTTTTATGCGGGGCATTCTTTAAATACATCCGGGGATTCAAATATATTTAATTTAATAATCAGCCTCAATAGATTAATTTAATTATTAAAGATTCATTATCGATGCCATCCCACATTTTTTGATTAATTATAAATTTAAATTCTTTATTATTTTCCGGAAAATACTCTCTAAATCACGGAAATTCAGCCTATGGAAGACAATGAACGATGTCAAATATGGTCATTGGCAAGACTTTTTCTCTTGTGGATTTTTTCGTTCCCAAAAAAAGAAATTAAATGAAAAACAAAATTGCCAGAGAAAGAAAGACTTGGACAATGTTGTGTGAGTGGTCGAAGTTAGTTAGTTTATTTCACGCAGCGGTGAAACAGCGATATTATCGTGGGAAAAAACTTCAATCTAACTCGGGTTGTCTTTGGCTTTAATTTCCCAAGAGCAAGCTTAATAATTAAGAAAACACGTTACGAAAAATTTTGAGATCGCTATTTAGTTAATGTTAAAGTGAAGAGGGAGAAATAAGCAATAATAAATAATAATAATAATAATAATAATAATAATAATAGTAATAATAATTTATACCGGGAAAAAATCATGTTTATGAACGGGGAGGGGAGGGAGACTTTTCATGACTCATACACATATCATAACAGGTTAATTCCGGTGCGAATGAAATTTGCAATATTCTACTAAAAACAGGAGACTTGGTAACAATAAATTGCTGTTATTGCTGACAAACAAACAATTAAGGTTTTAAAGGGGGAGGGGGCTTGTTTTAAGATTGCCCGAAACGCAATGTTTTAACATTAATATAATAATAATAATAATAATAACTTCGTTCGAAACTTATCGAACATGGTATCTATTATTAATATTTTATTATTATTATTATCATTATTATTGCCATTTATAAAATAATCTATAAAAATGATCAACTTTTGATTCGACATATAACAAACTTGGTTAGTGATTTATTTTGTTAAACACGTTTTTTAATTAAAAGATTTTAGAGATTTGAAGCTATTTGATGATAATGATAATGATGATGATGATGATGATGATGATGATGATGATGATGATGCAAGTTACATCTCGTGGTTTCATTTCAACATTTAATGATTATTTCAATGACTAAATGATTATTTTTAATGAATTGGTTATTTGTGTGATGTTGATGCATAATAATAATATGTTACAGTTTTAATTCGGTTGGTCGGTTTTCTATATTGATAAATATGGACAATTATCGATTTTAATAACGTCGATCACATCTTATTAAGAAAAAAGAAAAAAGAAATAATAAATAAACAATTTTAAATCGACCTGCTTGGCCGACATTAATATCCATATTGGTTAGATTGAAGAGCTTCAAAGTTGGTTAGTTGGTTTGAATTTATATGAATTGACTGTGAAATATTTATTTTCCCGTTTAATTAATTCATTTATTATTTATTATTTATTATTTGTATGATACAATAATTCCTAATCAAACTTAATCAACAAAATTTTTTAACTGATAAAAAACAAACGCGAAAATCATGCAACCAAAGTAATAAACATATTCACATGTGTTCAATTAATTTGGTAAGGAATAACGCTCGTGCGTAATTGGTATTATTAATTAGTATGCATTATTTGTGAAAGTGTAAAAAGTGTGAAAGTGTGAAAATCTGAGAAATCAAAAAATAAAATAAAATCAATCGAAATCCAATTAATTCCACTTTTTTGGGAAATTAACCGATGGCTCATATCAACTAATCATTTGATCAATCTTATTACAAATCATTATTAAGGGTAAAACATTATATTTTTTCTCCTTCGTAAATCATCTCTGTCCATGATCTTCTTTTTGTTGTTCAGCCGATCCTTGTTTATTGTTCAGCCATTTCTTCCTGCCAGTTCCGTGTTCTTCCGGCACAACAATTTCTGGCAACGTTTTATCAGCACACTTTTAACAAATTCTCTTCAATATATGGTGCCTCGCTTCCTGATGAATGATGACGATGACGAGCTATTAATTGATGGATAGGCAAGTAATTTGATAGGGGAGTGAACGAAATATTATGACAAATCATTTATTCTGGTTGCCACAGTACCCCAGGGTTGTAAAGAAAAATGGCTTGCTTGAAAGAAATTACTTGACGAGTTATGTTTCTGAAAAAACTCCTTTTTTCATTTCTTTCTTTTGTATGGGGTGAACATTATGTGATACAAAAGATCACCTCAAGAAAATTCTTTCGCGTTTAAATATTTCTCCAAGAACACTTTTGTTCAATTTTTAATATTCAGCTTCGATAATAACAACAAAAATTGTAAAAATCATTGCCATAATTCGTGTTGACATTTACAATTGTAAAATAAAGCCTGTAATCAAGAAATTATTAATTAAAAAATAAAACTTCAAATTATCTTTTCAATGAATAAATATTTACTTGAGCTGAATTTATCTGTGGACTTTTTTCCTCATTATAAAAATTACAATCAGCCTTGTAATATAAATTGGTGAAATAGAGCATTGGAAAAGTATAGACAAAGTAAAACCAGTTGATGAAAAGAAATACTTGAGACTTTGTGGAAAGATTCCGAGCAAATATCTTATAAAAGGAACAGAATCGAGCCCTGATTTTTTCATTCAGTAAAATGGCGACTGAAGTTCATGGGTTGCTTGAGAGAAAAGGTATTGCTGTCTCTGCTATTAAAAATTCTACCAACAAAAAACAAAGCCTGGAAGGAAACCGATAGAAGCAATTCAGCAGTGGGTTCTCATGCAAATACACAGACAATTTTTCTAATGTATTTTCTATGTACAAGTCCGAGTTAAAATAAAAAATAATTTTCTTTTGTCGTTTAATTCGTAAATAAATTTCAAGTCATGCATGTGCCACGAGTTGCAGCTCGTTTATTATCGGTCCAAATTATGTATAGAGACAATTAACCGTATAAAAATTTTTTTAATTTTAGAACGAGCAAATGAGAGGCCGAAGAAAAGTTGAAGTGGGTGAAAGAAAAAGTTGGACAAGTTAATGATAAACCTGGCAGGAAAAAGGTACAAGGTCAATGATCAAGAAGCAATGCGGTGAAACTGGGGACAAGAAGAAAAAAAAAAAAGAAAGATAAAGATTTTTGGAGGACAGGTAGATGATTGGGGGAAAACATCACGGTGGAATTTAAAGATAAAGCTAATGGACAAATTGCAAACAATAAATTATCTTCCATTCGTTTATCATTTTTTGTTGTATTTGTAATATTTGTGGTTTATGATGTCAGTAAATTTATTTTGGCAAAAGATAGACCACTAATTGAAACTAAATTTGATATTGGAACACAAGCTTTGATATCAGAAATTGTTGTTTGTGGACCAAATATGAATGTTCAACCTAAATGTTTTATGGGTTTGTCTGGTAATACCACAAAAGAATGTGATGCATCATGGTGGAGTCAGTGTCCTTTAGAACAATTCAAATTTATATTCCTTGACACTTCCAATGAAAGTTGGCATAAATTTATTATTATTATATATTTATTACTACCAATAACAATTGTAATTAATTGGCATGTTGTTTTTATTGATAACATAGTTGCCAAATGTAAGAGACTGTTATATTTTGACAACATCAAATTCATCACAATTCAAGCCAAATGTCATTGAAGAATTAAATATTCAAATGAAACTACAAACTTTACTTCCTGATTCATCATTGGGGTAAATAAAAATTTTCATAAAATTTATAATTTCCAGCGAATTTATTTTTTAATAAATAATACCTTTTGTAGTACAATTTGTAATTTTTTGGCCATGTCACAAAATCCATTTCATGTTCATCCTGATTTTTTTAATTTACCAGCGAAACGTTATTCACATTTTCAAGAAGGGAATTGTACAAATTGGTAAGAGTGAATAAATTGAGATTGGATGTAATTTTTCTTCATTAGATAAAATTAAAAAAAAAAATTTTTATATATAGGATAAAAAAATCCAAATTTCATATGATGTGTCAATTTCAAGAAGAGCATTACCAATATTTCAAAATGATACAAAGAAATTCATATAAGGTAAATGCTTGTCTATATGAAAATATATGGATAAGGTTTATACATAATTTAAATCTACATCTAAATCTAAATCCAAAATTTATTGTCCATTCATTCATTCATCTCCCACTACACAATTATAATGCAGACCTGATTATGACTTAAATAGCAAAGGATATAAAATGCTTGTAAATCATGAAAGAAAATATTTGGAATTTATGATCTAATACCAACAATTGGTGGATGCCTTGCACTGCTAATCCTATATAAATTATTTTGGAGGTGATAATAGACTGGATTATTTCAAAAATGTACAAACATTCCCCATTAATCTATTTGATAGGAAGTATGGTGCATATGGCAATGCTATCATATTGGATCATATTGAGAAACAGACCCAGTTGCTTCTTCTACTACTAATAAAACTATTAAATCAGGAATTAATCAATGTTTTTCAAAAATGATGTCATCATCTTCATCTTGTTGATCTTGAT